ATAGTGTGGCTTTGAGATAAATGTATTTCTTTCAAAGACTTCTGGTGTAAAAGTTAAAGCATTCATAAAATATAGAAGGTGCAGTACTGCCTGTATTTTGGTCTCAGGTGAATATATAAGGGGAGAATACAAGGTAATCTTAAACATACTGGATGAATAGGAAGTGTGCAAAATGTAGGAAAAACTTATTTAATCCACCAGCTGTGTTTCATTACTGAAAGGTAGAAGGTTTGAACTTCTGAAAAGCCTGATCATAGCTCTTGTTATCTAATAGCAGGAACTTTTCATGTTAACCAGGAGGAGTACACAAAGATTCTTGGGACATGAGCTCTAAGGGAATTTGTTACAAATAGTTCTGGAACATGCAAAAATTAATCTAGACACAGACCTTATACCCTTCATAAAAATTAACTCAAAATGGACTGCAGACCTAAATATACAATGCAAAACTATGAAACTAGGAGAGGGAAGACATAGGAGAAAATCCAGAGGACTGTGGGCTTGGCAATGATTCTTTAAATGCAACACCAAGAGCACAAGACATGGAAGAAAGAATTGATAAACTGGATTTCATTAAAATTAAAATGTTCTGCTCTGTGAAAGACACTGTAAGAGAATTAGGAGACAAGCTACAGACTGGGAAAAAATATTTGCAAAAGACATCAGATAAAGGACTGCTGTATATACATACACAGAGCTCCTAAAACTCAACAGTAAGAACACAAACAATATGATTTAAAAATGGGTTGGGGTGTCTGCCTGGGTGGCTCAATCGGTTAAGTGTCCAACTTCCACCCAGGTCTTGATCCCGTGCTTCGTGGGTGCAAGCCCCGCGTTGGGCTCTGTGCTGACAGCTCAGAGCCTGGAGCCTGCTTCGGATTCTGTGTCTCCCTTTTTCTCTGTCCCTCCCCTCCTTGCACTCTGTCTCTCTGTCTCCCAAAAGTAAATAAACATTAAAAAATGGGCCATCTGCCTTAACACACACCTCACCCAAGAAGAAATAGAGATGGCAAATAAGCATATGAAAAGATATGCCACGTCATAGGTCAACAGGGAAATGCAAACTCAAATAACCATGAGATACCACTACACACCAGTTAGGATGGTCTAAATCCAGAATGCTGGCGAGGGTGAGGGGCAACAGAAAGAATCATTCATTGTTGATGGGAATGCAAAATGGCACAGCCACCTTGTTTTATGTTTATTTGTTTATTTTAAATTTCAATTTTAGTTAACATGCAAAATGGTACACCCACTTTGGAAGGCAGTTTGGCAGTTTCCTATAAAATGAAACCTCCCCTTAACCATATGACCCAGCAATTGTGCTCCTTGCTGTACCCAAAGGAGCTGAACACTTATGTCCACACAGAGATCTGCACATGGCTTATGGCAGTTTTACTCATAATTGACAAAATCTGGAGGTAACTAAGATGTCCTTCAGTAGGTGAATGGATAAATAAACCGTGGTACATTCAGACAATGGAATATTATTCAGTGTTAAAAATAAGTGAGCTATCAAACCATGAAGAGACATGGAGAAAACTTAAATGCATAATATTAAGTGAAAGAAGCCAATCTGAAAAGGCTACATAGTATACGATTCCAACTCTATGGCATTCTGAAAAAGGCAAAACTATGGAGACAGTAAAAGATCAGTGGTTTCCAGGGATCAAGGGGGAGGGAGAGATGAACAGGCAGAGCACAGAGGGTTTTGAGGGCAGTGAAACTACTCAGTACGATATTTCAGCGGTGGGTACATGTTATTGTACATTTGTCCAAATCCATAGACTGTCCAACACCAAGGGTGACCCATAATGCAAGCTGTGAACACTGAGTGATGCGTCAATGTAGGTTCATCAACTGTAATAAATATATCGCTCTGGTGGGGGACATTGATAATGGGGGAAAGCTATGCATGTGTGGGGCAGGCAGTATATATGGAGTCTCTGTACCTTCTGTCCAATTTTTGCTATGAATGTAAAACTGCTTTAAAAAGTAAAGTCTATGGGCATCTGGGTGGCTCAGTCAGCTAAACATCTGACTCTTGGTTTTGGCTCAGGTCATGATCTCATGGTTTATGAGTTCAAGCCCTGAATTGAGCCCTGCACTGACAGTGCAGAGTTGGCTTGGGATTCTCTCTCTCTCCTTCTCTCTCTTTCTGCCCCTCTGGTGCGCTCTCTCTCTCTCTCTCTAAATAAATAAATAAATAAATAGTAAAGTCTATTAAAATATTATACTCCAAACATCTGAGTCCTAAACCCAATAAATATTTAGATTATAATCTAGAAAAAATCGAAGCCTGGGAGATCCTGGACTTAACCAACTTTAACCAACTTAAGAAAAACATGCTGATGGGGGCGACTGAGTGGCTCAGTTGGTTAAGCATCTGATGCTTGGTTTTGGCTCAAGTCATGATCCCACGGTTTGTGTGTTTGAGCCCCAGATTCTTGATCTCTGCTTGTGCTATCTCAAAGTATATAAACTTAAAAAATAAAAAAAAAAAGTACTCATTTCCTACAGCTTCTTTTCCTACTAATAGAACTTTATGTCAGGCCACTAAAATGGTATTCAGGTTGTATCCTGCTTTTCCCATGGGATCGGGGTGGGGGAACAAATGTAGCTGACCTCAGGTCTGTTCCTCTCCTGCTTGCACCCTACGCCGGTGTGGTGACACCAGGCTCAGAAGCCTCTACCTGAAGGCCCTCTCCTCTAAGCTGTGGCTGAGCCCAGAGTCAGGGAAATCGGCAAGGAAACAGTTGCTGTATAAGACATCAGGAATGCCATGCAGAGCATCCAATGCCTGCAGTGTGCTTCTTACACAGCCAACAGCTCCTGAGAGGCAGGAAAAACATTTGAAATGGAGTTATTTTGGTCTGCTGTTTTATCATTGTTTCCTGTAAAACTATTTCTTAAGCTCTTAAAACTGCCTGTAACCTAATCAAAGAGGGAAATTATTCTGTGCCATATCTGAGGTGGAGTGGGGGTGAGGGTGGAGAGTTGGTGGGATGAGGGGAAGGAGGAGCCAAGGGTTGATGCCCTATATTCATTCAAACGGAAGACACATTTTCTGTTTCTGTTCTTGAAGGGGAAAATACAGGCAATAAAGAAAGAGATTACTTAACAAGACGATGTTAGAGCAGAATAGGAAGATATGATGGGTATGGGGTGGAGGTTGGGAGACTGAGGATTGGGGCAGGGGTACTTTATTAAGTGAGCAGGAAAGACCACTTAGCAGGCAGACACCTGAATGAGGTGAGGGTGCTAGTGGTGTGAGGGTCCCTGGCTAAAGGTACAGTCAGTCTTAGAAGGGGCCCCTCTGCCTTACCTGGAGAAATTGATATACTGAGGTGGCAGAACAGGTTATTTTCTTTCTTTCTTGCCTCCTTTTTGAAGTGAGACACAAAGCCACTCCTTCTGTGTGGCTGGGTGCCTAGTAAATCAGAACAGGTTATTTTCTTTCTTTCTTGCCTCCTTTTTGAAGTGAGACACAAATCCACTCCTTCTGTGTGGCTGGGTGCCTAGTAAATCAGACTGATGCTGCTCAAGGCTTCACAGAGACAAATTCTCGTGAGACAAATGAAATAATATATATGGGATCCTGAGCTAAGGAATAGGATAAGTGACATAGGCCTCGAAGGGGAGAAGGGCAACTCACAGGGCAATAAGAGAGATGTTTGGTAATTAGACGTTTGCCCTGCTATGCACGTGTCAGGTAACATTTACCATTGGTAATAACTCTAGAAAAGACACCCAATTTAGATACTTCTAGGCAGTTAAGGAGGGGCAAAAGTTTCTCTTGAGTTCTTCAGGGTCTGGATTGCTTTTAGTTCAAAATAGTCCACGTGACAAAGTGGCACATTTTGGGGACACCTGTTCTGAATCCTTTCATAAGTCATCAGCAAGGATTGCCAAGTCTCTGCCCGCATACTTGTATGTGCGGGGCCAGGCTCCATCCCGGAAGAAAGCCATCCAAAGCTGTCTGGTGCAAAACAACCTCTAAGGTTGGGAGTTCTAAACTTGTAGTCCTGAGCCTTCAGCTCTAATGATAAGATTTCAGCGTGTAACAGCACTCCAACCGTCTTAAGGGTTAACTTGCTTCAAGCTTATGCATTCTTTGCTTGCTGACCTAAGTCCCTTGGTCTACAGCAGAACCAGCCTACTTTGAGATTTTCAGGACTTGAGAAACGAAGGCCCAAGCTTTCTCAGAAGATAAGGCCTTACTACACTCAGAAACAGCCGCCACTAACGCCAGCAAGTCTGTTTAGGGTCATGTCCACATACGACTCTAGCTGCCTGGGCACCTGCTTCTCTGCACGTAGCCCTCCTCCCTTTTCCAATGCCTTCGCCTTTAAAACCCTCTGGCTTTGCCTGATCGGGGACGATGAGTCTTTGAGAAGTTAGTCTACCATCTTCTCAGGTTGCCGGCTTCCTGAATAAAAAAATAGCCTTTTGTTTCCCCCACTGTTACTTGTCTCTCGAATATTGATTTTCCAGCAGGGAGTAGCTGAACCTGGGTTCAGAACCTGTTCTCTGTCCAATAACAAGACCGCGCAAACCGCTTGTATATTTCCCCAGGGAGTGTCTAGAGCAGTCGCTGTCAAAACGGGGTGATGTCTCCAGAACAGCGACTGGCCTAAGGACTCTACGGCCACATTCCCACCTCTGGGAAAACCGACGAGGTCAGCTCTTACCACCCCTTTCGCGGTTGTGAGGGCAGAAAGAAAAACCCTCCGGGCCCACCCAAGCGCGGCATAAACGCGTCTCCGCTGGGTGTTAACGCCTAGGTTCAAGCTTTGGCCGCTCAGGCCGCACGCGCCTGCGCGTCGAAGCTCGTCGCGGGCTATTGCGCGCCAGTCGCGCAGCACTGTGGGGCTGGTAGTTCCAATTGGTGCGTGGTTTAGGGCTGCCAAAGCCACAGAACTACACTTCCCAGTAAGGACCCCGGCAGCAGCTGGTGCGCGCGGCGTGCGTTAGCGACCACACTTCCGGACGAGCCGGGGGGCGGGACCGTGGCGGAGGCTGGAGCTGGGCGTCGGGATGCAGCGCCCCGGGCCCTTCAGCACCCTCTACGGGCGGGTCTTGGCCCCGCTGCCCGGGCGGGCCGGGGGCGCGGCCTCAGGCGGAGGCGGGAACAGCTGGGGTGTCCTGGGTTCCCACGTGCAGCCTCCCGGACGCGCGCAGTCCGGGACCCGCGCCGGCGTCGGCAGTACAGGTACCCACGGCGGGGACGCCAACAGCGCCTGCCCGGCCCCCTCCACGATGTCCAAGGCCGAGGAGGCCAAGAAGCTAGCGGGCCGCGCGGCCGTTGAGAACCACGTGAGGGTGAGCAGCTCCGGGCGTGGGGCTCCCGTGCTCGGCGTGACGGGCTCGTGTTGCGCGCTCTGGGCAGGGTCTGCGTGAGAGGGGCGAGGGTGCACGCTTTATCCGGGTTTAGATCCCCCCCTCCTTTTCCTTGCTCCTTAAACGTCTTTTAGATGTGGGATCAGTTGGGGACGAGTTTCCTAAAAGTTGAGCTTTCTAAAAGGACTCCTTCCGTGTCCGGCCGGGTAACAGTTTGCATAGTGGAGTCTGGTGGTGTCTGATGTGTTTGGAGTGGGTCTGGAAAGTACGTGCCGTGCGGCTTCCTTATCAACAAATGGCAAATGGAGTTCTGAGGCTGCCAAGAGATCTTCGTTTCTCTTCGTTTCTCTTGTGTTGGGAAGCCCGGGGAGAGCCTGTTTGCAAATTGCGTTGAAATTTCACGTCCAAGGAGGTTCGTAGCTTGGCGCGCGCTAGGTCCTGAGTGTACTCGCTAGTGAGAGATACCGGAAGACTCACTCAGGCTTTAAACCTCCTTGCCTTTCACAGGGCAGGGTGGGCGCTTGGATTTTGGAGGGAGCTGTTCTTTAAGGTGGGGAGCAGAGATGTCTAGGCGTTACCGGTGAGGTCGTGTGGCCCCACTTGTTAAGTGGCGGGTGTGGTGCTGTTATAGTGAAGTCTTTTGAGTGGATTTGCTGTCATCAGTCAAGTTAATTGTCTTAATTGTGGTACTTTACGAGCGAAGTGGAGTATCTCTGCCCTTTGGGGGAGTTTCCTGGGCTTTGTTGGGCTTTTTGTCTCTCTCTTCTATTTTCTTAGAAAGTGGTATCCGGGTCTCTTTCTCCTTTAATGATAGTTCTTTACATTTGTTAACGCTTTAAGAGATACTTTCTATAGGTAGATGATGTTTGATCCTCACACCACTTGACTAAGTCGGAGGAGGGACCAGTGTGGTAACCTGATTCTACAGAACCGGCTTGTTCTGTAGAGGAATGGCCAAGGATCCTTGGGGATCCAAACTGAGTGACTCCTGTTCCAGTGCCCTTCTACCAGTTCTGCAGCCGCTCTGTTCTGGTGTATTTTGTTCCAGGACTGGTTAGCAGTGGAGTTTTCTATGGGAATCCTCAGAGATAATGCAAAATGTGCAGTCTGGCTCTGCTTTTGGGATTCAGTGCCTCAGCGGAAAAATTGGGACAGTAAGCTGAAATTTCAAAATGCCTGTGTAAAGTGAATAATTAATAGACAGGTAAATGAAATCTGTAAATATCTTAGTTTTCCTATGAACTTAGTTACATTAATACTTGCTGACATCAGTATTCTCGACTTTAGTTAAATGTATTTGCTTACATAAAAATCTGTGAGCCCCCATCTCGGGCTAGAGCTACAAAGCACTGGATTCCAGCCACATTATTCTGTGAAATTACCAGGTGGTCATGGGGAGATCTTCATTGGCACTTTCGGGGCACCTCACCCCAATCTCAGGGGCACCCGCTTTCCCTATGAAGCTGCTTCCTGAGATGCTAACATTACCTGAATTTTGTATTTTCTGCTTTTCAACGTTGATTTGTCCATTTCATTTGTTTGCCAGATATTTGAGTGCCTAGTATGTGTCAGGCAGTTGGTGTGGTGGCCAGAAACGTGGCTTCAGGGAGAAGGAAAATCATGTCCTGGATACTTGGCAAACAGGAGAGTTCAAACCTACACATTTACCGAACATAGTCATGTGCCTAATCGTCAAGGCTTAGCTAGCTGCCCTCTCCAGGGTGGGTATCCTTTGCCCCCATCTAAGCCATGTTTTCTTCTAGTGCCTCGTGTCTTGAAATTGTTCACTCGTGTCAGTTTGTCGATGTGGTCATGTGCCAGGTCCTTCCATCCTTTGGATGTTGTTATAGCTGACCCTTCTCCCTGACCTGTCACCTTTCCCAGTTTAAGCTCTTCCCATGGCCAGAGGATAGCGGTTGCCCTTATCTTGTCCCCTCTGCCAATCTGTTGAGTGATGCATTATCATCTTCTGAAGCTCTCATCTGCTCTTGTCACAGGGACCCCTCAGGTGGTGTCATTTTAATGTCCACGTAACATATCTGAAGTATCTATTGTGAGCCAGGTACTGGGCCAGCTGGAGAGAATATGCAGATGAGAGGCTGTGGTTCTTTTCCTGAAGCCCACAGTCTTGTTTCCTTCTATAATCCTTTGTCCTCCATGTACCAGAACGTTGGAAAAGTCAGACTACTGGCATATAATGTGTTTTAACATCACTACACTCTACCCTAGAATGCTCGCTCTTGTCCTCTGACCTTGCCTGTTAAAATCATATATGTCCTTCAGGGTTTGGTTCAAAGACCATTTCCTCTTTTCAGTTTTTTCTTAGCCTCCTAACTTTGGGGGAGACCTTTTCGGTTTTGTAGTGCTTTATACCTCTTATGTGCTTTATGGTGTCTTCCGTTCTAGTCATCTGTATGTTTCTCTCTCCTGTCTTCCTAAGGAGTAAGCTCTTAGTGGATAGTTAACCTCATCTTCTCTCAGTGTCAGTTGCAGTTGGGCCTGCCTGGTAAATATTTGCTGAGTTGGTGGAATGTGGACACAAATATGGAGATTGTGGGGTTATTGGTGGCCCTTTGCTTAGTTAGAATCTCTGGAGTGTAGGCTTCGCAGTTGCCCAGCCCATTGGGGTTCCATTGTGGTGACTACTTCCACATCTGGATGGATGGAGAACTTGTAGAGTTCTCAACTGAACCCTTCTGGTAGCCACCCTGACCTCAGCTCTGCCTGTTTCTGGGAGTTTAGCCACCCAGGACCATGCAGGGCCGTGTTCTCCTGAAGGGCTATAGCTCCCTTTGTTTTCTTGGAGCCTGGCTTTGTTTTTTGACTGGCTTAGCCTGAAGTTGGTGAGCAGTAGCTCCAGTTGGTCAGTGAAACTATTTCCAAGTTACCCTACTGGACGTAGTGAAGTTCCAGTGTTGCAAGTATGGCATGTGGTTTAGTATTGTCCAGCAGAAGGGGCCTGTTCCTCCTGCAGAGCTTGCTTGGTGGCTGTCTGCCGTTGCGCCACCTCATAGGCACCCTTTGGCTATCTCTGTTTCGCTTTGGCTAGGACGCTGATTTCTGGGCCAGTCATTTGATTCCATGGTAGGAGAACCGCGTGGTTGAAGAGCTTGCGCCTGGCAGGCCCCTGTAATTCCTGGCCTCCTCCACAGAGGGAAGGAGAGCCTTGCATAGAGCTTGCCTGACTCACCAAAGTTCGTCTGTGTGCCACCTGGCTGCAGGGAGCTTATGAGTGACATCAGTGTATGGTAATGAGGATTACTGTATAGCTAAGTGCTGTCAGCTTCAGGTTAAGTGTGAGAGTTAGGTCGAGCCTACATAGGCATTAGTATATTAAGTAATTTTCTCATTCTTGAATATATTCAGCTATTTTTTTTTTTTTTTTTTTTAGTTTATTTATTTTGAGAAAGGTAGATAGAGACAATCCCAAGCAGGCTCCGTGCTGTCAGCAGCATAGAGTCCGACACGGAACTTGATTTCATTGACTGTGAGATCATGACTTGGGTGGAAATCAAGAGCTAGTTAAGTAACTGGCTGAGCCACCCAGGCACACCCAGACATTCAGCTGTTTTGAATGTTTTTGTGTTGTGACATACCATTCACTTGTCTTAAAGACCTTACTGTTGACATTTGTGCAGGTAGTTAAATAACTACTGGATGCATTACCTTCATGAGGGCATCACTGAAGATGGAATTCTTACCTGGGACAAGCTCTCTTCTGAGGGCTCTGTGGTGTATTTGGTGATTTGGGAACTGTGAGCTAGTCAAAGTGATTTCCATCAGGTAGCAAACAGAGGCTAGTGGGTAAAGCCATCTGTAGGTAGAGGCCCAACTGGAAGTGCTTTAGTGGCTGGAGTATTAACATTTGATTTCTTTTTTTGTAGCTCTCTCCACTGGCTGGTCATTCTTTCTAACTAATCCTTTACAGTTTGAGATGTGGTCTTGCTTTGAGAAGGACCACATCAGATATGGGCCCAGGGGCTGGCATTGGGTATTTGTCCTGTGGGGAGTGAGCGGTGTTGACTCTGGCTCTCAGTTTGTCCTGAGATGCTCCCAGGATTTTTCTTGTCTCCTATGAAGTAATAAAAAACAGAATTCAACAGTAAATCTTAAAGATCTATTGGCTTTATTCAGTGATTCATGAATCAGGTAGCATCCAACCTAACACATAGAAAGGGACTCCAAAGAGCTTTGCAAAATGAAAGACTTTTCTAGTCAGAAAGGACAGGACCTAGGAAGTTATACTAGGCATAAAAGCAGGTTGTTTATTGTAAGGTCACTTTGCTATAGGGGATGGCAGAGGTCTCTTAGGCACGTTACCTAGCTAGTGCTGATCAGACGGTTCCCGATTGACTAGCTTAAGATTCCATTTCTGGGAGAGCCAAAACTGTAATTAAGTCAAGTCTTGGTATGGTGATCTGCAGTTTAGCATAAGTGACTCCATTTTGGGCCTTTTTTTTTTTTTTTTTAACACTCCCTACTTCCTATCAGGCAAAAGATTTAACTTACTTAAAATGTTCAGTTTAAGCTGGCTTTACAAAAATGTTCTGCAGGTGAGTACTAAAAGGTTCCTGGCTAGCCCCCAGGGGCAGTCAGAAAGGAAAAGCTGTACAAAAAACACAAAGCCTAGGTTCACCCTAAGAGTGAAAAGCAGAGTTATCTAGCTTCAGTGACTTTTCGGGGACTGATCACAGGCAACTTCAGGTTGGTGGCATCACAGGAAATCTTCAGGGGGGCTATCAAGCCCACCATCTAGAGCCTCCCTGAAGTCAGCAGAAGGGGTAGAGTCCAAAGTAACCATTAGGGTGATGCAGGCTGGCCTGGTCTGGGGAACTAGAGAGGGTCCCTCAGGACTAGCCAACAGGATCCTTGGCTTCACACAGGATCAAAATCAAATTCAGGCTGGTAGGAAGTGGGAGCAGAGTTTATTGAATAGTGTGAGTGATAGGTTATAGCAGAATCTGAATGTGTGGGAGACCCAG